ACCCAAGACAGAAAGTTTCCTAATACGGATTGGCACGCGATCCGCAACGACGACGGCGCAGAGCAACAGAGGTCAGATGATTAACTTCAAATGCATATTCGAGAATCTAGGCGGTGTTTCGACTGGACTAATAAGGATGGAAGAAATTTACATCAACCGTTTACTTCGACGCAGCTGGATTGCCAACGATGTCAATGTGGTGTCAAGGCCAAGTCCAATACTCTTTCGTCTAACCTGGATCAGAGCTACAAACTAATGGGAATTAGACTAGTACTAATATGATCCAGTTTTCCTAGTTCATTAGCGCTTCATTAGTTACTAGCAGCCAGGCTTTCGGAAAAAGACCCCTATTCACAGTTAGACCAACTTCGTCGAGGATCTCATCCCCACGACACGCTATGCACCCCAATTAATGTGTATAAAGCTGTATATTCCCCGGATTAGAACCCCAGGTTGAAACCCCAGATTGCAGGCTTAACTATCATTCCAATTTCCAAACTCATTTTTCCCCTTACCGAATTGACAGTCCAAATTGGCTATCATGGGTTTCATGCCAAACAAGAGCGAGAGGCCTGAGGGCTCGATTTGGCCTGCAATCCTAATTGGAATTTTCGCCTCTATCGGCGGCATCCTATTTGGCTATGACACCGCCTCAATTTCCGGAATTTTGACCATGGACTACTGGGTCGAGGCAATGGCTACAACTGTAGATCATGATGGCCAGCCCGTTGTCACGACTACGCAGACATCCCTTGTAGTCTCATTGCTCTCGGCTGGAACCTTTGTCGGCGCTCTTCTTGCAGGCCCTGCTGGAGATTACCTTGGCCGCCGCTGGGGCCTCATTGCATCCTGTGGCGTTTTCAATATCGGGGTTGCTTTACAGACGGCGGCTCACGACCTGCCGCTTTTCATTGCTGGTCGGGTTGTTGCTGGCCTGGGAGTCGGCCTGGTCTCGGCATTGGGTATGTTCCTGACATAATTGGACCGAGACTGGAGTTACAGCTTATCTCTGACCGTATTTCTTTCAGTTCCTCTTTACCAATCCGAGTCTGCTCCCAAATGGATCCGTGGCACGATTGTCGGCTGCTACCAGCTATGCATTGTTAGTGTGTGAAGAGAAGGTTTAGGTGATAAATGTGCTGACAGTTGTGTGGAGAACCTCGGTTTGATCCTCGCTGCATGTGTAAACAAGTCTACCGGCGAGCGAGACAACTCAAGCTCCTATCGAATCCCAGTGGCTGTGCAGCTCCTATTTGGCCTTATTCTGGCTGGAGGAATGCTCTTTCTGCCTGAGACACCTCGCTATCTCTTACAGGTCGGCAGAATTGAGAAGGCCAAGGCCTCCTTAAGCTTCCTCAACTCGCTGCCATTTGATGATCCGGCATTGCTGCATGAACTGCAGGAGCTTGAAGCTCATGTCGAATTAGAGCGAGCGGAAGGCGTCGGTTATTTGAGCTGTTGGAAATCACCTATATTAAAGAGGCAACTTACGGGCTGTGTGCTTCAGGCCATGCAACAGCTATCAGGAAGTGAGTGGCAAGGTGTCTCACCGGGCGAGAGTTAGGAAATGGGGAACTGACTCGTCTCAACTAGTCAACTTCATTATATACTACGGCACTCGATTCTTCAAAACGGTCGGCATTGAAGATTCATTTCTCGCCACTATTATTGTTAACGTGGTCGCATTCTTCTCCACGATTCCGGGTTTGTATCTGGTAGAGAGAATGGGAAGAAGAAACCTGTTGCTCATCGGTGCTGCTGGAATGGGCATCAGCCAACTGATCCTGGCTGTTCTCGGGGTTACGGTTTCGTCGACGGCAGGAAACAATGCCCTGATTGCCATGGTGTGCATCTACATATTTTTCTTCGAGTTCTCATGGGGACCGTAAGTCTTTAGTTACTAGCGATCCAGTTAACTATGCCCTCAGCCACTAACCTGTCCTCCAGATGCGCGTGGATCGTCACTGGAGAAATATTCCCCATGCATGTTCGATCCAAGGCTTTGTCCATGACAACCGCGAGCAATTGGCTCTGGAACTTCATTCTTGGCTTTGTCACTCCTTACATGGTGGACTCGGGCAAAGGCAACGCGGATCTGGGCAGCAAGGTTTTCTTCATCTGGATGGCCTTCTGCTTCCTCGCAGTGGTATTTGTCTGGAAATACATCTACGAGACCAAGGGTTTGTCATTGGAACAGGTTGACGAGCTGTATCACCAATGCAGCCAGGCTTACAAGTCACCTTCATTCAGGCGAAACTGGGATAATGAGACTGGAGTCGCCTCGATAGGCACTCAATCAGAGAAGAAGGTACTCGAGACCGATGACAAGCAGAGTGCCTCAGTATCGGTCCACGAGTAGAAGCCCAATCAGGTTGACGGGGATAACAGTCACGGGTCCCGCAGGGGAGATTGTGGGGTTTATTCTGTCCAGGAGTCCTCCAGACAATACAGTTTCAATAGAGGGGACGCTTTTTCCGGATCTCCGGGCCCACTCACTGCTTAGACAGGATCCAAAGAACAAGTCACCTACCTTACTGTTTACTTTGTAACTAGCTAGAGAATTTATTTTTTTTATTTTTTTTTTTCTTTTTTGCTGTAAACCTGATCGTCAAATCTCTAGGTTGCCTTCTGCTGAGCAGCGGCTTTTCTTGCTATTCTGTTCTTTCTAGACTATCAATCCATTGATAGAGTAACGTAGGGTTTGATTCTTATTAGGGGCCTTGGTGGCCTGCTAGTTGTGTTATGCCTTTTTCTGGCATGTTGGGCATTATTGGATTGTCTGTCAGACGGACATGTTAGTACCCTTTCATCATGTAGCACAACAGTGCGCCATGTTAGCATGAGATGTTTCGTTCTTGGTGCACCACCGCCGTTATGTAAGTGGTTCTAATGATCCCCCTTTGCGATTAAGCATCACCTCCTCTCTTTGGTCTTTCTAGGCGCTTGGAAACAAATATGTTTGATAGGTCCTAAGGAAGCATGTCGACGGAGAATCCTGCGACTACCTAGTGGGATGGTCGCCTAAACGTTGAAGTGAGATCATCTGAATTCAGAAAAATAGTATAGGTAAAAGCATTTATCCTAGACCAAATCTGATCAGCTGTATCACAACCTTATTTCAGTCGTTCTAGGATTCTTGGTGTGATAAGAATTACTGGCCTATCCGCACGTAGATCTGTTTAATGCATCTTATAGTCCATGCACACGTCTCTTGAGGTCTCGTCCGGTGTTCACTATAGAAAGCCAAGCCATAGGCTTGTTGGCACTGTCTAATGACTACGATCGAGGCTGCGTTAATAACGATAGAGGATGATTGCTAGCCTTGACTAGGAAATATGAAGTTCGCACATACACGAGAGAGCGGACGCGGATCCATGCACATGTTGAGGGGGGTATGCTATTGTGTCGCATTGAAAACGTGCTGTTCGCCTTGATTAAGACACTATTGCTGACATGGAACGGGCTTTGCTGCTGTTGCCAGTACTTTTAGCCATAGTAGGCATCTGCTTGGATCGGCTAATAAATTATATCTGGAAGTCTGGCCAGAGACGGAAGTTCCATAGAGCGATCTCTGCGAGCGGATTTCAACCCGTGCCAAGAGCTACACCTCAACCGGAAGGTGCAACATCTCGCCTAATATTGCGTATGGGCTGGGGAACATGACGTTACGCCCAATCTCCGGAAAGTGCTCATGGTATTGTACAACATATAAAAACTCGAAGGTTGAAAATGCAATGGCTCAATCGTCCCAGCCTTTCCCGTTAGGGCTCAATCAGTCTCGGCCTATGCTGCCAAGTTCTTGGTTATCACTAGTCACTCCGGAAATCTGGCCAAGATGAGGCACAGCAGCGGTCTGTTGGTAATTGCCGGCATTCTAGATATCGTCCTTGGGGCCGTCCATGAGAAGCTTGCTGTAGTGCCCTAGGGTTGGTCCCCAGCCAGCTTGATATTGAGTAGCGATCGTGTTACAACATTTAGTATTGTCCTCAACCGGGATTTCACCAACCTCCAGAACCAATTGCTTAAGGTCTCCACGCTAGGACATCCTAACTATGGAAATTTTTTAGATAGTGATACGGTTAATGCTGCCTTCTCTCCGTCGGTAGATACCGTCTTGACAGTAGTTGGGTGGCTGTAGCAAAGTGGGATCTCTGACTATAAGGTGGACGGTGGCTTTATCGACTTTACGGCGAGCGTTGCGACCACGAACTTAATCTTGAATGCTTCCCATCAACACTATAGCAATGATGGAGCCACAAAACTTCGAACCCTACAGTACTCTATCCCTGATGATTTGCAAAAATATGTTGTATTTGTGGAGCCCGGTACATTCTTCGGCCAGCCTTAAGAGAGCTATCCCTTATGTCTAGCAAGACAAAGCATAGTGTCTTTAAATTGCCCTCTACGGTAGCTATGGATATACCTTATGCTATATCGGTTATACCCTTATGCTTGAAACAATTCTACTATGTTGGAGACTATAAGGTAGATCCGAAATCTGGTAGCAAGATTAGCATCGGCAGCTTTCTGAACGAGTCAGCCCTATATTTAGATCTTGAGCAATTTGAAGAGCTGTTCGGTATTCCTAGCTAAAACATCAGCAAGATGCTAATTGCCGATGGCGTGGATGACTAGGACCCTTCTTATGGTGACTATGGCGAAGCCAACCTCGACGTCCAGATAATCATTGGCGTGGCTTATCCTCTTCCGGTTATCGAATTCATTATCGGAGGCTCACCATAAGCGTAACTCACGCCCTTTGAGGCCTGCTCTCAGGGCTTTGCATCATTGGACTGACACTGTCCAGGTCGTTTATCCTAACAATTGGGCAACCGACGCCTGCTGATAATTTTAACGAGCCTTATGTGCCGTTCTTGCGGTATCTTCTCTCGAGGAAGAACTCCGAGCTGCCATAGGTCATTTCAATTTCGTATGGTGACCAGGAAGATGTAAGTGGCTAATTCAAACCGCCAAATTCAACTTGATTCCTCATCTTGGCTAACACTGGCAATTTGATTCTGTAGGGCGTTCCAATTGATTATAGTGTTTTACCAAACTATACTGAATGGGCAAGCGGGTGCAATATAAATATATATAAGCGTTTCTAGACTTTTCATATAAAGTTGTCGACTATAGTTATAACATTAGGTTTCGACTAGGTGAAATGAAGACTTTTTAATGAAGATAGTAGGCTCTTTTCAGTGTTTTAACTAGAAGACCCTAAGCTGAAAGGCTTGATTATACCGGTAAAGTAACGTCTTTGTGTATCTAAATCAGTAGGACACTAAAGTTGTTGGTAACGAAATCCTTATATAAGGTTACTTGGAAAGGTAGAATTCTCGAAATATGAAAGGCTTCGGACGATAAG